TGTTTAAATTAAAAAAAATTATGTTAAAGATGATTTAATTTTATTAATATTTTTTTCCTACCATTGTAATAAATAACTTATTATTTATATTTTAACACCAAAATCATTCAAAACCACTATGAAATTGACTCCAATTTCATCATCTTAAAATTAAAGTTTCCAGTTCTTACAGTGTATTTCATTCAAAAACTCAAAATCAACTATTTAGATTTTAACCAAATGAAAGATTCATACATACTCTCGTCTTTATAACTTAAAATTGAACAAATTCCTATAAAGATTCAACCAGGTTTTCATATCGAAATAAACAAAAAATAATATTAAAACAATAAAATTATACCGTAACTAACATAATTAATTTTTTAATTTAAAGAAATCAGATTATAAAATAATATCTTATTTTGCTAACCAAGCTATTGATATAAACCGTTAATTTTATTATTTATTTTAATGAAATTTTTTAATATGATAAAATTATTTCAAATAATTGATTTCATGATGAAAAAAAAATGTTTGGATTTCTTGTCTTTCATGTGGATCTTTAGAAAATGAAAACTTATCTCATTTATATCAAAATAATATTTACATAAAATGGGAAAGGGGTTGATATCCCCACCCCCTTACATCATTTTTCACCTCCTCCTCTTCACACCAACCCTCACTCACACCCTCACAACTTTTTCTCACTCTCACCCTCACATACTCACCCTCTACACAATCACATCCCCCTCACATGCATCTATAGGAGGAGGTGGAGTTAGAAAAACCCAATGGGAAAACTTAAAAAGGAGCCTTTTTATACACGTCATCGTAATAATGATGTCACACCCTACGCTCCCTTCTACGTAATGATTTTTTATTCTTTTACCCCCCAACTATACTCTACTTGTCTTTTTTAACCCTTTTCTTCAACCACAAGACTTTGCACCAAAGGACGAAAGTATAAAGAAGTTTGCTTACAACCCCTCCAAAACATAAAAGTAACATTCTTTTTAAAATTTTAAATTTTCTAAACACATAAATAAAAAAATATGAATATAATACTTTTTTCACAAGAAGATGATAATAACCCATCATAGATGGAATTCACCAAAATTTGCTTGTATAAAAAGAAAGGGACCTAAAGTGTCAATTCTTTTAAACTTTGGGGATGTGATGTAACGGCGTCGTTACGGCAGCACTAGCTGACGATTTGCAACTGAGAAAACCAAGTACTCTCCAAGAACATTTCTGGTGATCGCCACTCCGGTTAACCGGACCGACGTCACCGGATTCTGAAGAAGAAACAAGTGTCTTCGATGTTGTCCGGCGAACCTGCCGGTTCTTCATGTCCTGAAGATCCATCTCCGGCGGTAGCACCTTCACTAGCCCAAAGAAAAACACATACCATCGTGAAGAAGGTTTCTTTCCGGAACCATCACGACCAATCTCCGGTGGCGGTTCGGAACTCATGCTTGTGTTCCTGTGCAGCTTCTTGTAATCCAATGAACGACTGGTTCTAACGAGTTCACTCGCCGGTGGGCTCTTGACCTCTGACATTGATTCCGACCGCCGGCAAAGATACGGTTGACGGTGGTGGTGATTGTTTTCTCTTTGCGGCGGTGGTTTTTGCCGGTGGTGCTGTTCATTGATGGGTACAAGCTTACCGCAGAATATGATGTCTTCTGCATGAGACATCATCTTGTCTTCGGGATAATCACCCAAATCTCCCGAGAAAAACTCAAAATATTCTTCGGTGGGTAATGGCGATGGTGATGGTGGTGGTGATGGCGGATTCCGGTGATCTTGATGTTGGGTTGTTGGGAAATCGGTGAGGGAAAGGGTGTCAAGTACTTCTTCTACTTCTTGATTATCGTGAAATTTGTCACCCATTTCACACAGTAATTTCGTGTGTGTGTGTGTGTTTGGAGAGAATGTGTTTTGGAGGTTTGAGAAATAGAATTAATGGAGAAAAGAAACGAAATATAAAAGGTGTAGATGGAGGAGGAAAAGAATAAAGAAAAGTGGAATTTTTAATGTTGAATTGTGTTTTTTTTTTCTAATATAAATATTATTTTATGGACAAAATTCTACCTTTTCTTTTAAATAAAATTAATTACAAACAACCTCAATCTATTTATAATTTAACCACTTGAAAATCATTACTCTATTTTTTTTAGAATTTTTTTTATTAACCTAAATATCTAATCCGTTATGCGAGTTGATTAATTTCAGAGTGATCACTGCTTTGCAGATAACCTGGAGTCACCGTATTTGAATCTCCATAGCCACAAGAAGATTTTTATTCCTCATTGGATTTGAACCTGAAATCTCCAGATACTTTTGACCTTTGGAGTCAAACTCAAACCAATCAGAAACCACACTTGTGGTTTATTTATTTTTTATTTTTTTAGAATTGCTTAGTTCTGTTAAAAGATATATATATATATATATATATATATAGAAAGAGAGAAGCGTTCAAATAAAAACCACTCAATTTGTACAAACCATGAAAACCACATTCAACCAATCATAATTTTTCATTTTGTTCATTTGTTTGTAATTATAAAGGTTGATTAACCATTTTTATTATGGATGGTGTTAATCATGGATATTATCATCTTCATTATTTTAATTTTAAAGAAATACATGAAACAGTTTCATTAAAATTTTATTAAATATTATATGAAACAAAGTCATCAAAAAAGTATTATATGAAACAATTTCACAAGATTAAACAATTTCATGAAAAAATTTCATAAGATTAAACAATGAAATCGACGTATGAGAGTGGTTTGTACGGTTTGTACAAATGAGGGTGGTTTTCATTTGATCGCTCCTATATATATATATATATATATATATAGAGAGAGAGAGAGAGAGAGAGAGAGAGAGAGAGACTTGGGATCATGTGAGACCAATAGTTTTTCGTGAGACCCGTAAAACCAATTCTCAATCCTTGGATTAGATCTACAATCATCAGATCTTAATATTATAAACGCCACGAGACCTCTCAATAATTACAAAATTGTCACCGTGCAACTTTAGACCATTAGATCATATGCTTATAAAGTTGATCAATAAACATAAATTGGTCTTACATGTCTCACGAAAAATCATTGATCTCACGTGAACCCAACTCTCTCTCTCTCTCTCTCTCTCTCTCTCTCTCTCTATATATATATATATATATATATTTCAATCTTGACTAACTAAACTCTTGTTTGTCCTTAATTGATAAAATGATAACAGATTGGGGTAGATATTGACAAATGTATAAAGTGTTGTTGTTTGGAAAAGAGGAGGACCACACCTCACTTATGAGAGAAGATGGAGGGTAGCAGCGTCCGTGTTATGAAACCTGAAGGGGGAAAAGATGGCTTATTGGAAACTTATATAAACGTGTTTTAATCCTGAATCGAGCTCATAATTCAGTTTCTCATTTTGAAATCAGTTTACAAAAGCTCTTGTTCTATTCTTTCGTTTGTTCATTGTTTAATTTTCATTTTGTATACATATTGTGTTAAAACTCATATATTGTAATCTATTTCTCTTAAAAAAAATCATGTATATTTCATAAGTAATCACTTTCAATTAATTCTATAAATTTACATTTCTTTTATTTTCTTCGTTTTAAAAAATATTTTAAAGACTTTGTTAGAATAGAAAAATTAACCCCAAGATCTTAGAAATCACCATTTTGGATAATCTGGTAAGGGTACTTATGGATTGGGTTAATCGAGTTGAATACATTTAAACAACCTAACCCAATGCTTGTGGTTTGAAAAATCTTTACCCAAACCAAATTGCAACCGAATCCATTTCGTACGGGTTAGTCGGGTTGATACTTTAATACATTAAATATTCTTCTAACCTTGAATATGTTATTTCTCTACTCATAATTTCTTTCTCACCATCAACAATTTGATACAACTTATCCATACTTCTTACGTATATCACATTCAGTTAATTTTCTCAATTTACGTATATATGTTCACAGTGAATGAACATATATACGAATGAGTTATAAAGAGATGTGAATAGATTGAAAATATGTGTATATGAAGAGTGTACGTGATAGTGTAATTGTGTAATGTATATATTAATAGAAATTCAACAATCATATTAAATCCAATAAATAAAATGATATCGGATTCATCGGATTGGGTTGGGTTGAGTTGAGTTCAAATAATAGTAACTCAATATCAACTCAATACCTACGGCTTGAAAATTTTACAACTCGATTAAACATCAGATTGATCAGATTGGTCAGGTTTTCGACTTTCGAGCACTCCTATAACCCGAACATCTCCATCAGCTTATTATATATAAATTTTTTTTAAATGGAGAAACAAAATCATAATCTCCAAAAGAAATTAAATCTAACACCAACCTAAGTCTTCATTTTAATGATTTTAACATTTATTTAAGAGTGAATTACATCGTTGGTTTCTGTGGTTTGCTCAAATTTTAGATTTGTTTCCTAAAATAAACTATCTACATTCGTGGTCCCTAACTTTTCATTTTTCATAACACTCATGGTCCATCCACTTAACAACGTTAGTTAGCCACCGTTATAAGACTTAATTTATAAAACCAAAAATAAAACGTTGTATCTAAAGACGTTGCAATAAGTTTATCGGATGCTTTAAAGCATCATAACAAGTTTTTATGATACTTATAATACAAAGAATCGTATTAGCAATTTTATATGACACTTTTAAAAAAGTTCCTATAAAATCAATCGTCTTATAAAAAGATGGACTTTTAGGACGTTTAACTTTTTTGGCGTCATATAAATCTAATTTTTGTTGTAGTGATAGTTTTTCTTGATTGTTTAAATAATCAATATTTTTTTAATCTTAATTTATAATTTTTATGTGGTTGTCATTTTAATTATTTGTAGTTTGACTGTATATTAATAATCTCACGTTAACCGAACTTAATTTTCAATATTTTGCTCGCATATTTCAATTCCTAACCTGAATGATATGTGAATCTATCTTTATTTTCTTCGGTTTTTTAACTTTAGACTTTTTAACGCTAAACTTTTTTTGTGAGTTTAATAGTTTTTAAATAAATATAAAGATTTTTATTTAATATGTAATTTATTTTAAGAAATTTGATATATATGATTAGATCTATAAAATATATCTTTAATAAAAATAATAAAAACACGTGAATCACATTAAATTTTAGATTAGATTACACTTTTTTAGTTCCTATAGTCCTTGATAACGGTGTTAACTAACTTGTTAATGGAAGAGATCATGAGTGTTATGAAAATGAAAAGTTAAAAACCACTGGTGTAGATAGTTTGTTTCAGGGACTAAATACAAAATTTAAACAAACTACAAGGACCACCAATGTAATTTACTCTTAATTTTATTACAAAAATATTCAATAAAATATAAAAACAATACTTTCTCTCTCTTTTTCTATATTTTTTTTTATTAAGGGCCTGTTTATTAAACACTTACTTGGTAAGTGTTTAATGCATAAATTTTCTCATCGGGTAAACATGAGAAGGGCCAAAAATCTTACCAAATAAGAGCGATGAGAATGATGGGGAATCTTACCTAGTAAGTGAGGATGACGACTTTTACCAAGGTAAGTGTTCACCCAATAAATTGTTGCATTCGATATGTTTTGATGTACTAAAATCTTACGCATCAAAATAACTTATATGTTAACTCCTATTGGTAAGCGCTTACCGGATAAGCATTTAGGTAAACGGCCCCTAAGACTATCAGAATGGAATTGTTTGAAAATTATCCTGATTTGAAGAAAATTCTTCCTTGTGTCCGGTAATCTCCTTTTCGGGAAAAAAAAAACTTGAAAGAAAATATTATTGAACTAAAAATACAACAAAACCTTAATTTTTCTCTGTTTCAGATAAGCTGTTGAAAAAGCTCTATGCTTTATGACTGACATGTTACATTACTTTTTACAAAAAGGCCTAACGACTGTATTTGTCATCAATTTTGTTACTATTTATATCAAACTATATAGGTGTAATGGATCAATACATAGTTCTATTTATGTTTTTATTAGGGATTTGCTTATTTGAAATAATTTATCTTATCAACTTATTATAAGTTAGAAGGGTTTAACTTTTTCAAAAACTTCTTATTACTCAAAAGTGTTTATTACCGGTGTCACACCAGAATAAATCAATAAGTTATTTTTGTAAGCAATCCTGAAATATTTTGATGAATACGTTTTCATGATTCACGTCCGACGTTTTATCCAGACAACTTTGCTAAAATTTTAAGCAATAAAATACCGAAATTGACCAAATCAAATGGGCATATATCTCGAAGAGGCTTGCGCAATTACATAGTTCATGATGTCACCTGCATTAAATACAAGTTTGCTTCTTAGAAAATATATGTACATACCAACATTTAATTCACATAACGTGTAACCTTTTGATACTCACACAACAAATATGTTTAGAGCCACACATTTCCGTCTTCGAGACTGATTTTTCAAACTTCTAGTTTCGGTATCGTTCGTGAGTTCGTAGTCAGCTTCGGGTTTTCTGGTTTTCGTTATGAAAATAGACCCGTGTTTCAGTTTGGTCGTCTTTAGTTGGCTAGAATCTTGTAGTAAGTTATTTCACGTGATGTTGCGAGCCTCGGTTTTTATTATCTCGTTCTCCTTGATGTGTATCGGTCACAGTTGTTTGAAAAATCTAAGGTGGCGTTTGTTTTTTAAGAGGTGTTTAAGTCTGAAGTCTGAAGTCTGAATTCACTTCTGAATTTTAAAAGGTGGTGCTGAAGTCTGAAATCTGAATCAGTCAGACTGTTTGTTTTTACGTCTGTAATCTGAAATCTGAAATTTGAATCATTGAAATCTAGGCTTTCTTTGCAAGCATTGGAAGCTCTAAA